GAGGCTTTTATAGGTAAATGGTCACAACTAGAGACCATATGCATAAGTGAAATAAATCAAACATACATGTGCAAGCGCCACATTGTTTCACTAGTGTAAGACCTGAAAGAGTTAATTTAAACTAGGAGGTATGATACACATTGTGAAATGATAGGAAAACACTCAAGGGTAAAGGGCAACTGGGATGTGGGAAAAGAGAAAGAAAAGACAGAGAAATTTTGCATGTATGTATATACAGGATAGGTAACATAGTTGTTCTACTGTCTTCTATTTCTTTGTGAAAGAAACTGTCAGTGAGTCCTTGATTGATCAATATTGCATGTCTCTATCTGTTTTCATGAGAAACCACTTTGAAGATATCAATATGTAATACAACAAGCAACAAGCATTGTAAATTTCCTACCACTTTGTTTGTAACTCTGTGTTGTCTGTACTGTTATTTTGCTATTTTGTAAAAGGTTGTCTGTCTGTTAATGTTTTTCTCCTTTTACTTTTAAAATAAAAAAAAAATAAAGAGAAAAGAGCAAAGCCTCAGCCACAGGTGACAGGGCAGAGGGGCCGGGCGTGGTTGGACTACAAGAGAGGCTAGGAAATAAATAATAAATAGATAAATAAATAAATAAATACATAAATAAAAAAGTATATGGGAGTATGTGCTTAGGTCATATGCAAATAACTGCACCATTTTACATATGAAACTTGGATACTGGCAGATTTTGGTGTCTGCAGAGATCCTGGAATCAATCCTCCATGTATATCAAGTTTGGACACCTGTGATAACCTTTTTCAGCCACATCACAGGCTTCTATTTCCATATCCGGCAGATTACCATGGATAACAGGGATTGGTGCATCAGCTGAGCAAGTAACTCTGCCTTGTAGAGGACCCATCATGAAGAGCCTGTCATTTTAGTCTTTGAATTGAATAGCAGTGACACACTGGTGTTGAGTTGCTCATTTTTGTGATCCTGCACATCACACTTTTCATTAGCTGACTGGTGGCAAGTAGATAGGGTTTGGACCAGGAATATAGAGTTTTCTCCTAGTGACTGTGAATGCCTTCATGTGTGGAGAGAATCTCCAACTTTCCATTCATGTCTGCAAATCTCCATCTTAGGCTTACCATATGATGGGCAATTGTTCTCTGATATCAAAAAGAAAGCCTGAGTTCCTCACTCAGGAAAGAAGCTGGATCTGAATTGGTCCTTGTTGGCAATAAGCCTTAGTAATACTTTAAAAATGATTGTAGACATTGGGCAGCCACATCCAAGCATTTGAAATTTCTTTTGAGTTATTACTGCATGTTGAGCATCCCTAACCCCAAAATCCAAAATCTGAAATGCTGTAAAATCTGAAACGTTTTGAGCATCCATGTGATGCTATAAGTGGAAAATTCCACACCATGAAAATTTTTTCATGGATAAAATTATTGTTTTTGATCTGAAGGGATTGTATTTATTTTTATTCTAATTATTTGTGCATATTAATTGCACAAAATGTGTTTTATTGTGACATTTTCACAAATACATGTAATGCGCTTTGATCATATCTACCTTATTATCTGATGTTACCTATTGGCTATATATATATATATGTATATTATATGAAACAAATAAACCTCATGTTTAAACTTTGGTCCCACCCCCAAGATATCTCTTTAAGTACATGCAAATATTCCAAAATCCAAGAAAATTCCTAATCCAAAATAGTTCTGGCCCCAATTGTTTGTGATAAAAGATACTCAACCTGTAGTTAACCACAGTGTCTTTGACAGTGACATTGACAGCTTCATGCAGTGCAGATGCCCTGTGCTAAAAGGCAACTTCTCCAGATTTCATTACAGAGTTCTTCAACTATTCGCTACTGAATTGCAATTGGTGTAACAGGAATCACATAGGATGAGTTTTGCAGCTCTCCTCTGTGTTTCCATAGTAGCCCAGAATTCAGTGTGCTGTTATGTAATTACCAGTTTGTATCACATCTTCCTACAACTAAAACTGGGCATTTGAATCCTCAGTGCCTAGCACAGTACCTGGCATACAATAGTTGCCCAGTAACCGTTGGGTGAATAAATACATTAATATGTAATAGTAACAAAAAGCTCAGGGAATATGAACTAACAAGATAGAAGGGGTTGGTTAGTTTGTTGCATGTTTCTGCTTTGTCTTTACTTTTCTTCACCAAGAACTTTATTAAATGTCTGGGTGTCCTTGCTTGTCCTCTTCTTAAGAGTGTGGCCCTGCCCAGCTGTTGGATGTTCTTGTGCACAGGCAGGGCCCCTATACTTTGCCCCTGGGAGTTACAGAAATCATACTGATGTTGCCTGGTTCTGTCTTCTTCCTCCCATATACTTTAAATCATCTCTACTTTTCAATACCTAATACAATGTAAATGTTCTTTAAAGAGCTGTTATACTATATTGTTTAGGAAATCATGACAAAAAGTCTGTGTAAGTTAACATGCGTATAATTTTTTCACAAGTATTCATACCCACAGTTAGATTTGAATCCACAGATGTGGAACCCAGGGATACAAAGGCCCAACTATATTTTGTTCAGGCTGGGAATGAGGGAAGCATTTCCATCCAGAATGAGCTGACATTGTTTTCCAAGTTGCTCCTGAGAGGAAAAGGGAGTTTTGGGGGTGGTGTTTGAAATCGGGGTTTGGGAAGCTATGAATTTTAGTTTTCCATGTCCTCTCAGCCCTGTTTTCCAAGTGTCAAGACTACTTCACGTAGAGTGGGTGGCCAGGCATGGTGGTGCACCTAGAGTCACAGCTAGATGGGAGGCTGAGTCAGGAAGATCACTTGAGCCTGGGAGTTCGAGCCTGGCCTGGGCAGCAGAGTGAGACCCCCATCTCAAAAAATCAAGCAGAAAATGTGGCTCCCTGTAAAATATGAACATTCATTCCCTTCTACTGTACAAGGAGGGACTAGTATTTCATTTGCACATCTTTGGTTGTATTCTGATTTTTTTTATGAAAGAGAAAATGGGGACATAAATATTAACATATATCAGGGAAAACCGAATTTCATTAAATAGTGGCCATGATTAATTTAGAACATTACATCGCCTTGTTGTTTGTAAAGAAGGACTTATGGTTTGAATTTTTCACAAAATGTTGACTACTCAAGCCTCCTCTTGTCATCAGTTTGGTTTGGAATGATGCATTCAGAGTATAATATGCTATATTTGGTTGTCAGGCTTTTTGAGTTGAAAAATGTGTGCTTCATTATAACTGCTGTGGGTAGTTTGAGAGGATGGTGAATGTGTTCTTCCATCTTGTCATTTTCCAAGATTTCTGTGGAACCATGGTCATCGAGGGAGAGGAAGCTCCAGTTGCCTACACATTGGATGATACCAAACCTGATGGCAACTATGCCGCTATAATGGGGTAAGGCACTATGACAGTACTCTGGCTGTACTCAGTGTTGACAGGATGATCAAATACTCTCAATAAATGTGTACCAAATGTTGTTAAATAAATTTCTTTTAGTCAATGACACTATTCACCCAATCCATCAATAGAAAAAATGCTATTGCTTCTCTTGTTCAGTGTCTTCCAAGAAATGCTTTTCTAGAAAAGTAGAATACCAACAACACTTTAAATATGTTATATTTAGTGCTTATGTAGATATATTTTGGTGATCCATTGTGTGTTGAAACATTATATAAAGACCATAATTGGGGTGTTTTACTAAAACAAGTTCTTGTGAAGGCTGTGTGGGTATCCGTGTTGTCTTACTCTGTTTGGCGTTGCTGGAACAGGGTTCTCAAGACCGTGTGACTTATAAAGAAAAGAGGCTTATCTTAGCCCATAGTTCTCGAAATCCAAGACCATGGCACCATGAAGTGCTTGGCTTCTGCTGAGGGCCTAGTGCTGCTCCATGCGTGGTGGAAAAGTGGAGCAGAAGTTGGCAAATGCTAACAGATCACATGGCAAAAAGAGGAAACATGAGAGCAAGGAGAGAAAGCCAGCGTTGCTCTATAACAATGCACTCTCACAAGAACTAATCCACTCTCGTGGGAGTTGTATCAATCCTTTCACAAAGATGGGTTCCTCATGACCCCAAGTGAATCTAGGAGGTTGGATGCTGAGGAGACACTGTGGTGGAGACTGAATGAAAGGGTAAGAACTGGATGAAATTGGATAGGCTTAGATGGAGACTTAAGGGGGCATCTGAGGCCCAGGGCTCAGCTCACTCCTGTTGGCCACCAGCCATGTGGGGAGGAGCTGGGTCATTCATCATGTTAGCCTAGCCAGAAATCATGGCCACTTGTCTACTTTTAGTCTCCTGACTCCCCAAAGCTAAAAGCTGCTCTTCAGTGTCAGGATGCGGCATCTAAAAGTGGAACTGTGAACATGAACTAAGCCAGTGTAGAGACTGCTTCCTCTGGACATGCATATAGCCATAGAAATGAGGCCAGGAGGAGAAAAATTATTAACTTTCCCTCTTTTTCTTGTTTGTAACTTTTAGATTTATCCTTGCTCACAAAGCCAGAAAACTGGCGCGACTTACCAAAGAAGAAAGGTAACAAAAGTTTGTTCCTCTCCATCCTCTCTGCCTCCCTTGCCCCTTTCCTCCCTCCCTCTCTCCCTCCCTCCCTTCAACCCTTCCCCCTTCCTTTTCTTCCTCCCTTTTTCCTCCTCTCAATTCTTCTTTCTTTTTTTTCTGTCTACCTTCTTGCCTTTGAATTTTACCTTAGAGATTGCCTAATAATATATGTGTTGCCAGTGCTACATGTTCGTTATTTTAATTATGAGAGTCTTGCAGAAAGACACTGTACTGATAACTTAAGAACCAAAAATTCAAATATTTATTGAATTTATTGTGCACAAGATGCCATGATAAGAACTATAGAGACTACGAAAATGGGTATAACCTAAGGCTGGGAAAGTGCAATATTCTGTACTGCAGAGCAGTACAAGAGCCATACATTAGAGATTATAGGTACAGAGGAACTAATTTCTCTGGAGGTTGCAATTTCTTCTGACAATTAATTTTCACCACTGCCAATTATGTGTTGCCTCATTACTACTGGGACAAACCAGGGGGGCAAACAGCTATGCCTGAGGGAAATAAAACTGAACTGCTACAACTGGGTGTGGTGGCGCACGCCTGTAATCCCAGCACTTGAGATGCTGAGACAGGAGGATCCTTGCAAGTTCAAGACCAGCCTGGGCTACAAAGTGAGCTCAAGGCCAGCCTGAACTGCACAGTGAGACCCTGTCTCAAAAAGACAAAAAAAAAAAAAAATGAAAAGAAAAAGTTGGGATGCTACATTGCTACATTGCTTCTTACACCAAAATAGATTTCGGAAGGATCAAAGACTTTCATATAACAGATGAATCTAGAAAAGTATGGAAAATGGGTGATTAAAAAAGTTTATTATGGAATAAGGAAGTCTTTATTATGCATGATAAGCCATTTAGAAGCCATGGTTTAAAAATGGATAAGTTTGATTACATAAAAAATAAAATTTGTTTCATACTGCTATTTTGTTAGATAATGTGTCTTTTCCCTACGGGCTTAAAATACCCACCTTTATGAATTCTAAATCCCCTTATATATTTGGCTCTTTCTCTAAATTTAATTTTACTTCTTTGCGCTGTCTGGACATTCCTCTGTTTGTGTTAAACTATTTCAATATATAAAGGGAGGGGGAGAAATCAAGAATTTTTATACACTTTTGTTTGTAGAAAGAATTTCTGAGTTTAAAATAATAACATTTTAAAATATCATTGGCTAAACTCTAAATCGCGTTCATGATACCCTTTTGCATTACTATTCTTTAAAAATCAGGTCTGAAATAATTGTATTTATACAAATATAGTTGACTCATCTTATGTGAACTAAATTGATTAATCAACTCAAATTAATTGATTAATTATAACTGATAACATTTCCAATCCCCCCAATAGCTTTAAGAGCCACTATTTACTGAGCATTTATTTATTACATATCTGCTGGAACTTTACATCAGTGGTTATCAAACTTGGGAATCATCTGGAAGGTCTGTGAAGACACAAACTGCTGCCATTCTCTTTTCTGAGTGAGGTCTGGGGCAAGACCTGAGAACTGACATTTTTCACAAGTTCTCTGATGATACTGATGCTGTTGGTCTGGGAACCACAGTTTTAAATCATTAATGAAAAAAATGATGTGATGAAGCTGAAGCTCAGCAAGCTGGAGTAACCTGCCCAAGATCTCACAGTTCAGCAAGAGACAGAAGCAGAAATCACAGCTTTTTCTGCTTCCCATCCTTTCTACTGTGCCCATTGCCTCACAGTGGGGCAAGAGGACAAGGGAAAGTGACAAGGGCTATGTCTTCATCTTCCCAGAAATCTCCAGTGCTTATCAGATGGACTAACAGTTAATTTTATACAGTCTCATTTTGCAAATGAACAGAAAATGTCATGAGTCCCCAGTGATTCACACAGTGTCTCACTTTACTTTCTATTTATCAACAGTCTCGCATCATTCATATTTATGACCTCATAGGTTTAATATATTTGAAATAGGACAAAGTGCCTTGGTTTTAAAAACTTAGAATGAAATGTCAAAGTGGGAGCCATGACTCATAGTCTTTTTTCCCCTTTGGTGTTGCAAAGGCAAGCAGAAACACTGAAACGATACCCAAGATTTGGAGCCAGATTTACGTCAGTAGGCACTGATCGGGATCATTCCCGGAATATCAGCCCTGATCTCAGGTGGTCTAGGGCTTATATGGGATAAGCAAGCAGGGAGTACAAAGGCAGAATGGCTTGTCAATTGGGGATTGGTTTATACAGTGTGCATCATAGTGACCAGCTGTGCATCATGGTGACCAACCATTTCTAAGAGACAGAAGCAACCGGAACCAAACAGGAACTATTACCTGCGCAACTAACAAACTGAAGTATACTGGTGGAGGGGGGGCATTATCTGTTACAGTATCGGAAATTGAACCCAAAGCCTTTGCACTGAACTGCATGCCCAGCCATTCTCAACTTTTTTGTTTTTATTTTGTGACATAGTCTTTCTGAGTCAATAAATTGCCCAGACTAGGCTTGAACTTGTGATTCTCCTGCCTCAGCCTTCCAGACTGCTAGAATTACAAGTGTGTGCCACCATACCTGGCTCAGTGTCTTTTTTAAAATAAGAGAATAAAGTGCCTCTCATGCTTTCTTTCTGTTCCTTCTTTCATTTTCATTTTTATCTAATGTTTTCCCCTCCATAGGTTAAAGAAACTTTGTGAGCTCTATGCAAAAGTCTTGGGCTCCAAAGAAGCTCTGAAGGTAAGGTTGCTTCTCAACCCCTTCTTAAGGATAGAGGTCCTAGATCCTGGCAGCCAGAATGGCAATGAAAACTAGCTTTCTTTTCCTCTGGCAATCTTGTAAAAGGACAGAATCTCATTCATGTACATAAAGCAACACTCACTGTACCCCCATGTCCCAACATTAGCGATGGAAGGAAGACAGTCGGATGGGCCTATCCATGTCACCTGAGTTTCTTAGACACCTTTGGAAGAGCCTGAGGAGATGATGATCTTCAAATTAATGAAATAGAACTCTGAAGTGGTTAAAGGTGGGATGAGGATGGGTAGGTTAAGGAGTCCACATGGTAGGCAGGTAAGGCAAGTGCTTCTGTCTTGGGACTTCTGGTGCGAGTCATAGGGCCTGATCATAACGAGTAGCCATAACCACCTCCCTCATCAATGTTTAAAATGACTAAAAGGTGCTCTTATTGCAGTCATCAGGCTGCTGGGTTTTTAATGTTTTGACATAGATTATGACATCTTTTAAGAGTAGTTATTACATCCAGTTATCTTTGAAGCATTTGAAGACAATGGAGAGCAATGTACAAAGTGACAGTGAAAATGTGAGAAAAATCTAATGAAGGGGCAGAGCACTCCTTCTGCAGTGCACACCGTGATCTAGGTGAGCAGCTATGTGAGCAGCTGAGTCCTGTCACTCTCACACTTGCCTTGCTCAACTTTGGAGTAGTCGACTTCCTCCTAGTCAAATTGTTGTGGCTTTTGACTTTGACTTTGTCATATTTGTTCATTGTTTTAAAGCAAGATTATTACACCACTCTTGAAGATATTCTATATCTGATATAGATGAAACACATGTTCTTAAGGATTCTTTGAATTGTTTCTCAGCATATGAACAAAAAATTAATTAAGTGGTTTGGGAGAAACATATTAATGAGGGATGTGTTTTCTTTCTTTCTTTCTTTTTTGCTTAGTATACCATGTAGCAAGTTTAAATATAGTCATAACCTCCAGACTCCAAAGTAGCAAGTGAAGTGGCAAAGCTCAAAATATATACAAAGTAAAAATTAATTTTACATCCATTAAAAACCAGTAGAATTTTTCCTTTAAAATACTACTCAAGACATTTTGCCCTGGTGGATAATCGAGGTTCTCTGAAGTCACATTCTGAGGCATTCTCAGGCCAAAACATTTTCTAACTGAAGTTCTTCCAGCAGCTTGTGAGATACGTGGAAAAATTTACTTGGCAAGGAAAGCATTTATTCTCATACTTCCAAAAAGAGCTGATCATTTTTTGTTGGGGAAAATCTTATTGTAGGAAGAATGTGGATGATATAATTCTTGATGATAAAAGAGTTGGTTCTGTCCTTGTATGCTTTTGGAGTAGAGAAAATCATTTGCTTTACTCTTGCTTTGGTGTCTACCGTGTGGGAAGAAATCCCTGGGAGCAAGCAAAGGTGAAAGAGAAAGTGTAGCCTTTCTTCTGACGCTGCAAACAGCCAGGGAAGAATGATCAGGAGGTGGCTGCAGCCCTCAGATGCCCGGATTGTGACACTGCAACTGGCCTGGAGCCATGTAACCCTTCAGGCTGGGCCTCATATTTTGTAAATAGGATGCCTTAAGAGCGCCTATTCAAAATCAGTTATGTGACTGCAAAATTTTTTAAACAAAGCATCTTTCAAAATCTGTTCTAAATATTTGTGCTATTAAAATTCCATATGTTCTATCATTTTTCCTTACTTTGGCTTTATCTTTTTAAAGTAACATATTTATGATAAAGTCTCTGTTTAGTTTTTTTATTTGTTTTGTTTTGTTTCTTGGCACTGAAGATTGAACCTAAGTTCTTGTATATGCCTGGGAAAGAATGTAACACTGATTTACATCCCCAGGTCCTATTTTTATTAAGATTTCAGTCTGCAAGATTTCAGCTTAAGTCTTGCCTGTTAATGACAAAAGCATATTTTCCAAGCCAATAGGTGTTCAAAAGTACCATCATCAACAGAAGTGCCCCCATGCCACAAAACACTAATTTATCTGCCCAGCTTCTTTTAACAAAGCTCACTTTCATCAAAAACATGAATCTGGTCATGGTTTTTCTTCAACAAACATATTTTTCTGCTTTTTCCCTATATAACCTCTCTGGTAAGCATAAGTCCTCTTAAAAATTTTTCTTGAAACCATGAAGCATTAAAACTTATTAATGAATAAGACCAAGTTAAAAATGGAAATAGACAATTGTACTTGATATAAATTTTGCAGTCGCATAACTGATTTTGAATAAGCGCTCTTAAGGCATCCTATTTGCAAAATACGAGGCCCAGCCTGAAGGGTTACATGGCTGCAGGCCAGTTGCAGTGTCACAATCCGGGCATCTGAGGGCTGCAGCCACCTCCTGATCGTTCTCGTACTTGGTACATAACGATAATACTTATGACATGCATGAACCAATTGAGAAAGCTTTCCTAAATTTGAATTTCTTACAAGTTTATTACTAAGGGCATTTACCTGCCTAAAGACACATGTTCAAAAACATCAAGATAATGAGGCTCTATTTCAGAAATATAGTCAGTCAGCCCTCTGTATTTGCAGGTTCTGCGTCTGTGTAATCAACCAACCACAGATGGGAGATATTTGAAAGAAAATTGCTTCTGTCCTGAACATGTACAAACTTTTTCTTGTCAGTATTCCCTAAACAGCATCTTACAACTATCTACATAGCATTTACATTGTATGAGGTGTTATAAATCATTTAAATATGACTGAAAGTTGCAGGAGAATGTGGTTTCCTTATTTTATTTTATTTTATTTTTTATTTATTTTTTTTTTATTTTAAGGATAAAAGGAGGGAAACATTAACAGACATACAACATTGGTTTCCTTATTTTAAAGAGAATAAAAAATTTATAAGAGACACAGAATTTCAAAACAAGATGATGAGAATTTAACAATTGTTGTTATGGGTTTTATGCAAATACTCCGCCATTTTATATGAGACTTGAGCGTCCGGGGACTTCGGCATCCATGTGAGGTCCTGGAACCAATCCTCTTCAGATTGTGAGGATTGACTGCAAACTGGTTCTCCATTATCAAGTCTGCTGGACTATGTTTGATTTATTTGATGCTAGATATCATGCTGTACATCTTTAGTCACTCTGTGGTGTGATGCTTTTGTCACTCTGCTTTGCAGCCGGTACATTACGAAGAGAAGAACTGGTGCGAAGAACAGTACTCTGGGGGCTGCTATACAACCTACTTTCCCCCTGGGATCATGACTCAATATGGAAGGTAGAGTAAAAGTGTGCAAATCTGGGATTGAAACCCCCAGCCATGGAATCCAAACTCTAAATAGGTTCATGCCACTCTTTTCCCTTCTCCTTGTCAATACCAAAAAGAAAAAAAAAATCCCCAATTTTCTTTGTATCTCGTGAATCCCAGGAATAAAGCCGTCCTCATTCTACTCCTCCATGCTGCTTTTCACCCTGCATTCTTCTGCAGGAGCAAATCCCATATAACCAAAGAAGGTCGCAGCATTAGAATAGCAATTTAGATGGGTGGGGCAGCAAGCACCTTTAAACCCCATTACTGAGGAGGCTGAGGCAGGAAGATCTCAAATTGGAGGCCAGCCTGGGCAACTTAACAAAACTATCTCAAAATTTAAAAAAGTTTTAAAAAAGAGGTTAGGAATGTAGCTCAGTGGTAGAGTGCCCCTGGATTTGATCCCCAATATCAACCCCCTAAAGCAATTTAGATAATCAGAAGATTCACTTCCACTGTCAGAAGTCTCCTTACAATGAGTTTAGAACTCAGCAACGCTGCCTCAAATGTACCTGTGTAAGTGCCAACTTAGATGCAGCGCTATAACAGCAAAATGAGTTCTGGACCAGCTTGAAAAGACTTGATTTTCCATTCTGACTCTACCAACAACCTACTTGTTTGTCCTGGACAGTAACTTCTTTGCACATCTTACTTTCCTTAACAGATGAATGAGAAAACATGAGATGGTGTGCAGTGGACACTAATCAGTATGTTAACAGGAGCGTGAGTCATTTTAACAACTTTATTGGGATATTAGTCCCACATCACACAGTTTTCCTATTCAAAGTGCACACTCCAATGGCTTTTAGCATTCCCAGCATTGTGCATGCAAGTGTAATCATTGATACTTCGTTGTATTTACAATGGTGAGGAATGAATTAATGATATAGCAGTAATTGTTTTGACCATTACAGTCTTAAGCCAAGCAATAACGTACTGCCAAGAACTCAATCTAAACCAAATGGGAAGTGTAGGATGGTGAGTGACAGGCTGTTGAGAGTATACAGCAAATGCAGAGTGAGTAAACAGAGGTGGCTGATCAATCTGTCCATGAAAACAGGTCGGAGCATACTTAAAAGCTGCTTATCAGAAAATACATAATGACTTCAGATGATCAAGTATAATCCAAAAGAACACTCTGGGGCCAAAGGGCACTACTTGATAAGCTAGTGGGTCATTACTTTTCAGATATACAGAGTGTAGAAGAAGTCAGTGGTGATTGTTCCATTAAGCATTTATTGGCTTAAGGGCCAACCATTGGCCAAGAAGTGTGCTGGAGAGTTCACTATCAAGGACAACCTTCCCTACTGAGAAGTTGATAATGTTGGTGGGTAATGTGAAGATGGGGAGAGGACATAATATCAAAACTTGAATTTTTAGCATATTAACATAAATGTTCATATAGAGGGGCATAAAAATACCCTGGAAATACATGGAGCCTTGCCCTGGCCTTGCCTAAGGTAATCTGTTGGGCTTCATAACGTGCATGCCACCTGAGGCCCATGGGAGATAGAAGACTCCTCTGGATTCAGCTGAAGCAGTTGGCATGCTATGAGCAAATGCTTGGAATTCTACAAGTTCTAAGAAGTCCAGGGGCAAAGCTCAATATTGCTAGACTGTCGGTGAAATTGAAGACAAAGTGGAGAATATGACCACAAAGAAATGTAGACCCTTTGCTTCCTATGACACATTCATTAATATAAACTTGATCTTTCGACAAGACCACCACTGCATTGGTTTTATTTTGGTTTTGTCTTAAATTGAGAGTGCCACAGATTGCAGTGTGATTAGATTTTTAGCCACAGAGTGGAGAGTTGTATGCACAGTCCCAGAGACTGTCAGGGAAATGCCTTTGGGGGCAAGAGCCTAAAAGAGACTCACTTGGATTGGCCTGATCCTTATGGCATTGAGGGAAGCAAGATAAACCCCATTTCAACAGGCATTGGTGATGCCATGGTAACACCGTCTCTCTTCTTTACTCCTTGCCTCCTATACCCTGAAGGTGGTATATGTATCAGGAGGGCTTTTCAGATTTCCCTAAAGAAGGCACCTTCCTGTCACCATGTGTCCCTCCAGTTTTGCTATCACTACCTTCAAGTTGTATAGTATAAACTAAAGCACAGCATACACTAGTGACAACCCAGCCTGAGCAGGGATTTTGTGCCCACAAGACTTCTCTTGATCCTTCAAGGTTGTGACATTTGGGATACTGTGAAGAGTTTTATCTTTAGGGTCCTGAAAATAGTCAGTGTTCTGTTTCCTGATAGAGGACAGACTGAACAGCATAAGTTTAGTAAAGAACTAAACACACATTTCTGAAGGAAGTTTTCTTCTAGATAGAATGAAAAACCGATTGTAATAATTACTTAGTAAAACACATAAGCCACAAGAAATATGCACATGACTCTCTTTTACAATATCTTAAGTTCTATATCCTTTGTGAATATATACTGTCTGCTCGCTCATCTGCCAAAGAAGGAGCAGGGATTTTCTTATCTAGCTTCTTCGACTTTATTTTTCCCCCTGATGAAAGACAGTTTCCACTTGACCACTGGAGAGAAACTATCTTTTTATCTATTTAAACTAATTCTTGATTTTCATATCATTATATTCTGATAGCGTGATTGGTTCTCGAAGCCTTTGTTCTCACATCTAGCCTTTAACTGTATGGTTTGGCGAGGTTTCCCAGAGGTCCCCAGTTAGATTTATATCTTTCTGTTTGTAAAAGGTAAACATGCAGTGAAATACAACATAGTTTAATGAACATGAAAGGGAAGATCCACTGTCTCTTGAAGGAAACCCTTCCTGAATACCCTCAGGCTCTTGAAAATTCCAGATGAACCCATTAATATTATCAGTTTACTAATGTTCTATAATATCTTCTCTCATATCCTCCCTCTCTTTTTGATGCCTGCAGTAAGTTCAGGTGAAGGAAAACCCACCAATTTGAATCAGCCTGTTTGGGTTTTGAATAAGAGGTCCAGTGTGTAGAGTGCTGATTAAGACAAAACATAGCCATGAACTCTGGACATCACTTATCTGATATAATGTCAACCTGAGATAGGATGAGTAGTGGCTTGCTGACAGTGCTTTCTTTGTGGTATCTTTGTCACAGTGACAATGAACTGCCCTTCTTTCTGGCCAAGTACTGTGAGAAGTGAGTGTGGGTGGGCACTGTTATTTGGTGATGATGATATACCAGGAAGAGTATATAGAATAAAAACTGAGACTTCGACTTCTGATAGACCTGGTTCAAATCCTACCTCCGTTATTCTCTAGCAGTGTGACTCTTGGTGAGTCCCTGCACGTTTCTCCCAGCTTCAGTGTTGTCATGTGTGAAAAAAAGATAATGATGATAGCTATGACATAGAATTCTTGACAAGATTGAAGAAATAATGCAGGAGAGGCAAGAAGTAATATAACCAAGTGGCCAAGACTGGGTTGCAGAGTCAAATTACTTGGGTTTGAGCACCAGCTCTGCCAATGAATGGCAATTATGGAGCCATAAGACTCCTGAATTTGCTAAATATTACTGATGGAAACAGTAACATTAAGAAATGGAGAAGGTAGAGCAGTGATTGCCAAGGAGAAGGAGAAGTGATTGCCAAGTTCATCGGTGGAATAACGGGGTAAAGAATTGGGCTACGTGTCACCACACCCACAGTTGGTGAGCTGTAAAGAAGGTGACAGTGGAGCAAACATGTATTTTGCCTCCATCAGTGTCAGTTCAATATCACTTCGATGCAAGCTCTTTGTGTAGGAGTGAACTTTGGTCTTTGTTCCATTTTGTTTGTGACCGAGACTATGCACAAACTGGAGGAACCTAATGAACATTTAAAAAAAAATTGCTAGTGTCCCCCTTGCAGTTTTGAACTTGAGGAAACAAGCCCTGGTCCTTGTAGGGATACTCATCTTCAGCTGTCTGTGACCAATTACTTTTACCTCTTGCTTTTGTCCTCAGGGTTCTACGTCAGCCAGTGGGCAGGATTTTTTTCGCAGGCACTGAGACTGCCACCCACTGGAGTGGCTACATGGAGGGCGCTGTGGAGGCTGGAGAGAGAGCGGCCCGAGAAGTAAGGCCCAGGGTCACGGGTTGTGGGGAAGGAGGGAACTCATGGGCCTGAAAAGCAGATCCTAGATGTCTGAGATCCTGTTGCAGCAGCAAACAGGAACACCAAAACATCACCTGGGATTTGGAGGCAGATGTATTTATGTCATCAGGTAGTGATAGGGATTTATTCCCAAAAAGGAGGGAGGTTTTTATGGGACTGCAAAGGGGAAGTACAAAGGCAGAGTGCTCATTAATTGGGGATTGGTTCCTACAATGTGCATTGTAGTGACCAGTCATGTATTATAGCGACCGGTTTCTGGAAATGAAAAGTAACAAGAACTGTAACAGGAACTAAAGTGAACTGGAGGTTACCCGGGCAACAAGCAGAGACATTTTCTGCTATATTGTGACTAACTTCCCAGTAGCCTCCACCTGAAGACCCATGAATCTCCATTGTAACAGCAGTTTTAGGAGAAGGGAGTGCCTTAACCCAAAAGTAACAACAAAACCATTTAACATATTTCTGATGTTGCAGAAAAGCCCATGAGGTTATATTTGAAAGATAACTTAGGTCTGTTATAGAATCGAGCATATTTCTATTAGGACCCAGAAAATTCATTTTTATGTTTCTTGACAATTCCTCTAATCTCATTACCATTAAAACCTGTTCCCAACTACTAAAATTTACTCTGAGACTGGTGGTCAGAATCTCTTATACTATAGATGAAAGACCTTTTGGAGACTTCTAAAGGTTAAGTGGACTGCTCTGGCCTTTACTTTGGTATTTTTGATTGCTATTTCAAGAGACATTTACTTAGTCCTTTATTTTAAAAAGCAGATTCAGAGAAAGATGCTGTCAGTTTTGCTGTTCACTAAATGTGCTCTTTCATTTCAGGTCTTGCATGCCATAGGGAAGATTCCAGAAGATGAAATCTGGCAGCCAGAACCAGAGTCTGTGGTAGGCTATATTTTATTTCATGAGTGTAAAGGTCTTTCTTCTAAGCATAATTTTTTCCAAGAAGTACACACTTGTATATACCCATGTAACATTCCCTAAATGATCCAGCCCTTGAATGTTTAAATAGGTATCATGGGTAGGGCAGAAGTGAGAAACTCAAATGAACTTTGATAAATTGGTAGCTGCCATATTAAATGCAGATTATCAGGGAAAATAAGATTTTTTTCCTGGGGGAAAGATTTCTCAGAGTTCTAGATGTTAAGAACTCAGTAGGAGTTAGGAGTTTAGCTCAGTGGTACAGCATGTACTTAGCATGTATGAGGCCTTGAGTTCAATCCAGAGCACTGCAAAAAAGAAAAGAAAGAAAAAGAAAACTTTCACTCAAGAAATGTCTGTTGCCAGGTGTGATGGTGCACACCTATACTTCCAGCACTTGGGATGCTGAGGCAGGAGCATCGCTGTGAGTTCGAGGCCAGTCTGGGCTATATAGTGAGTCCAGGCCAGCCTGAACTATGTAATGAGACCTGTCTCGAACAATAACAACAACAACAAAAAACAAACCAACAACACCAACAACACCAAACTTAATAAATGGCTGTTGCATAAGTATTTGACCCGATGATTCTCAGTTGAAGGTAGGAAAAGAAAGAAAGTATGTTATCTCCTGACCAGGGCCAGAGGGATGGAATATATTTAGAGTAAAATTTTACTTTCAATATGCTTGTCATATTTGTAATAAAACCCAGGGAGGGGGCTGGGGATTTAGCTCAGCGGCAAAGCGCCTGCCTGGCAAGTGCAAGGTCGTGAGTTCAGTTCCCGGTACCGGAGAAAAAGCAAAAAAAAAAAAAAAAAAAACCCAGGGAGATTTCCTGGTTAGAAGGAAGGACGCATAGAAGATAGAGCAAAAAAAGGAAAGCTGTTCCTCTAGCCTTTTAAGTGTGAAGTCTGAGAGACCAAGCCCTAACACTCCCCAGTCACTCTCCTCATGCTTTTGCTGGAGAAGGGATTGTGGGGTTGGGAGGAGGTGCACTTGCTCAACAAATAGTATGTCACATGTGCTCAGCATGGGCCATTCTAATAAGGGCACAACCGTGCTTTCATGTCATGTTGAATAGCCTACAGGTAAGAAAGAGAGAGTCACTCCCAGAAAACTAGAGGAGGTACAGATATTTTTTGAATGAAATGCACAAGCCTTGTACTAACACCCAGTGTTCTCTGAACCCAGGACGTCCCTGCGCAGCCCATCACCACGACCTTCTTGGAGAGACACTTGCCCTCCGTTCCAGGCCTGCTGAGGCTGATTGGATTAACCACTGTCGTTTCAGCAATAGCACTTGGCTTCCTGGCCCACAAAAGGGGCCTACTTTTGCGGATCTAAAGAGAAGCCGTCTGTAATTACCCTCTCTTCTTACTCTGGCTTGTGGATTTGGGGAAGGGGTTGCCATGAAATTCCGTGACAGCATAAAGAATGCAGCAGGAAGCATGAGATTAAGTCAAATCACAGGAAGCACAGTATCACTTTCTCTGTTTCGACCCTGGCTAGTGTTCCATACCTAATTTAGTGCTCTGTCTCACCAATTTGCAGATTTACTGACCTTAGGATCTTTAGAATAAATAGCCTTATGGGGCTTGCTTTCCCATAATGGACCTTACCCACTCACATCCAGCTAGTTTTCTCCCACTTCTAGCGCTTTGTGCTTGTCCTCACCTTCCCAGGTTCTCTGCATTTGTCCCTAGAAGTCTATATTGGTATAGCTGAATTTTGTGTCATTATAGCTTAGCATCTAGTCTTCACCTTCTGTTTTAGAGTTGAGTAAAGTGAAACCCACAGAGATGCAACTTAATCAGCCAAGGTCCATGATAAACCACTGGTATATGGACAACTAGGACAGAAATTCAATGCTTTTCCCACTTCCCTATAATCTCTTGGGATATGTTCTCCAACTGTCCTCCTCTAGCCATTGTCAGAGTTGTCCATGGTGTCCCCTGTGTGTGTTTATTCTGTACTAAATTGTCTTGTGCTGCTCAAATGCTACTCAGTATATATCCATAGGTCTTGCTATCTTCTGCAGTGTCTCTGAGCCGACTTTAATTTTTTTAAGAGCAGTAATCTTATCTTTGCCTTTATATCATATTCTCCATTATGTCTAGATACAAAGGTCAGTACCCACTTGGGTAATTAAAAATAAAGCTGATTGACCAAATGTCTTCTGTCTTTTCTTCTTGGGTAATGACTTTCAAGGTTTTGACAGACCAAATCAAGATGGAATATTAGGATATAACTGTGGCTTGAAAACGTTTAGTCAAAATTTTCTGGAAGCCTGGATACATTTTGACTGTGTGATCTGTCTTTGGCAGCATATGCGTGAGCACTTGGTAAATGATTTATAATGATACGGTAAGAGATGCTACAAGACACAGTTCCTTGCTTCAACCGTTCTCCCAAAGCCTGTCAAAATAACTGACATATTAATAAGCAAGATGCTTACACTATTAAGATAATTATAATATTTCAGTTGCCCTTTCATATTCTTTCTCAGTGCAAAGCTTTTTACTAGGTACACTCATTAATTTAAAACCACAGCCTCACAGTCCATTAAATCCTATTTGAACTACTTTTAAAATGAGATCATCATTTCAAAAGCATTCATACCTCTCAACGCCCAAGGTCAGTTTTATCAGGATGTATTTTAAATCCCCTAAGTGACCATTTTCACATTCTCCTTTAGAAAATGAAGCTGATTGCTCTTAGCATAAGTGAAATGTAAAAATTCCCCAAGATTAATCAGTAGTACAGTTTCTGGTTTTATAGTGACATTCCCAAGCATGAATTTATAGGAACTTTATAAACTAACTGAAGAAATTAAAGAACCCATTAACTCTTTGTAACCATTTTTTAAAATGTCTGTTTAAAGATACAATGTATGGGTGAAGGATGTAGCTCAACAGAAGAGTGTACCATGCATGAGACCCTGGGTTCCATTCTCAGCAGCACAAATAATAGGAAAAAAATAACGTACTTGGCATGGGGGTATCTTCTCAAGCACACACCCTTCCAAAAAAGTCTTCCTAAAATCATGACATTACTAACTCCATTTAAAAAGGAGTCAGACAAGGAATTGCCTCTATTGCCTAGACTTCCAGCTGGGTGACATGGCCCTTTAATTTCTTCTCCCAGTGCCACATGCAGAGATTCACTGTCCCACATTTACCTCCGTGAAATCACACTTGTTCAGTTTTTAAATCACATGATTTGACTGGAAATATCAAGTTATATTTGATATCAGTTATCAAGATGAGTCTGGAGATAGAAAAAAACTGGGAAGCATCAAATGAAAGACCTAAAAACCAGGTTCTTCCTCTGAACAATTTTGAGACTGTAAAAGGAGTGGGATGGTGAAGGAGTAGATTTGTGAAGAGATTTCTTTAGAGTGAGATGTCATGCTCTGAATCTAACACACCCAAAGCAGAGAGACACTTTTACATTCTCATCCTAAGTGTAGTGAGGAGCTTCAGGGAGACACCTTCAGGAGCTTGATATGCTCCTGAAGAATCTGAAACCCTGGATCTTCCTCAAGATAGTTTTGCCTAGAGAGTGAAGGGATGCCACAGAGATTTCCAGAAAACAGAAGCCGAAAAGGAGCAAAACTGGCTAATCAGAGGATCTTCAGGTACTGCCTTGGGTTGTTGCTGTCAAAGTCAGGGCCAACATGAAAGTCTCTGAAAAGTATCCCCAAAGTGCTCCTTCAGAACAGAGCCAGTCCCCATAACAGCTAGGTCTGGAGTACATAAAGATCTCATGAGAAGACCTGTCAAGTGGGAACGTTCAGTAAACCCCTTACCTTCCACCTTTTCTGTGCTCAACCCAGGAAGTCCCAGAATCCACATTTAGCAAATAAACTAAGCAGAGAGTAGAGGGGGAAAGGAAAAGTAAACCCCTGTGAGATGGTGTAGCACCCCCTAGCTGGCGAGAGGAGAAGCTCAGACTCTAAGTCCAGCTCAGAGTTTTCGGAATTCTCCATTCAAATTACTGCATTAAGACTGCAGTTTGTGACTTAAAGAAACCATAGATTTGTCTCTTCTTTATGAGCAATTGGTAGAATCCCAGGCTTGCCAGGGTTTCCAAACACAGGAAGGGGACTGACTTCCTTGTCTCAGTCAGTGGATTGAAATGCACAGTGCATGATAAAAAGATTAAAGTTGTGATTTTTTCCCACTCAAAGCATTGATTAGGATAATAGCATCTATTCTTGAGAGCCTGTTTTCCATGCACCTTCATTCTCCACATCTTCTCTGCCTGAGCCATCAGAGAGTCTCAAGTCAACCAAGCCAGCTATCAATTCATGATAGATTCCTGTAGTTTTCATTTTAGCTCTGGGTTGACAATCCTGTGGCTCCTACCCAGCAAAGGGAATGCCTCTCGCCTCCCTTTTGCAAAGATTCAATTATCAATTTTCCTCATACTCACTGTGAACGCATCAACTGTCTTCCTGACTATATTAGTTGAGGTAGCACTAATAGCTTGTTGGATACAATATCCTTCCCGGGTGTATCAATAAGTCTACCTATGTGTTTCTCAAAAGGGGTGCACATCACAACGACTCCAGGGCTTTGGAAAGACCCAAGTGCCTAAACAGAGGGAAAGTTTAATATAACAGGTTTGTACCAGACGAGCACCTTCACGACCTTTCTCTCTCTGAAGGTCTTAACCAAGGGCTAAGATTGCTGCTTTGGAGATACAGGAAGGCTTGGCACTCTGGCGCTGAGCCTTTCTTGTGGGACTACTGCTCTATCTTCATACCCTTTCAGCTGCCCAGCTGTAGTCAGGTGGAAAGAAGATGCTGGAAAATGACTTTGAATAAAAGGAATTGGTGTTGCTCTCTGAAAGAACAGCATTAATTTAACAAGTTAATGAGCCAGACATGTTTCCTGGATACAGAACTGCGTGGCTAGGGAACACATATCTTGATTGAAAGTCCCGGGTATCAGGTTGTGGTCTGCCCACTACCAAAACAAACAAACAAAAAAACAAACAAGCAGATTTTTGTAAAAATCCGTATAAATTCACTCTGGGAAATTACCCCAGGAAGCAAGAGTGGGAGTGGGAAAAGCAGAACAGAGGAGGAGGGAGAGATGCTCCCAAGCTATGTTTTGGAGCTGTTCACTGCTACGGGTCACTGGGACTCAGGTCTGCTGGGGACCCTTCAAAGAGTCACGAAGAATGTACCTCAGAATAGATCACCTGATAGACCAAGTAAGGGAGTATTTATTTTCCACTGGTCAAAGTGGCCCCAGAAACACTAAATCCCTTTCACTCCCAGGTTTGTCCATATATCAGAATAGCCACTGAGGAAGGTGCTGATGTGAACTTGCACCTCTGATTGCCGCAGCACTGGCAGGAGTGCAAAGATAGGCTGAGAGGATGCAATGGTGCCCGAGAGCTTTCATAATTAGGGGCCAGTAAGCAACTTAAAAGTGTTCATTGAGAGCAGCACAATATTAACATTTTTCTTTTGTCCAAGAAAAAGATGTGCTTAGGAAAGTAATCTGTTTATGTAACAGTCTCATGAACATTTTAAAAAGGACATCCCAATTTGGGATCTTTAAGGTCATAAATTCCACATGGGACAAATCCCATCTATTTATAAGCTCTTATGGTAGATAGGTGCCTATAGAACATGGAGTGCTGGCCATGCCTGTGGTCCCCTTTATACAAATAGTCAGAAGCAGGTCCTTACAGAGAGGTTACCTGGTCTTTTGATCCCACTACCCTTTCCCCTACCACTAATTGAACAAGGGTTGGTTCCTGAGTCAAAGCATTCCATGAGTGGGCTGGGGATTTAGCTCAGCGGCAAAAGCGCCTGCCTGGCAAGCGCAAGGTCGTGAGTTCGGTTCCCGGTACCGGAGAAAAAAACCAAAAAACCAAAAGCATTCCATGAGTGACCAGTGGTCCATGGGTTGGTCTGGTTCAAAATATTTCTTTGATGGTGGTGAAGACAGAGTGAACACAGAAGCGATAAGGTTAAGTCACAGGATCGGGGGCATGATACCCAAATCTGGAGGGTGAAAGTAAAGTGATTGCTGTGCCACTTGACCTAATAAGACAGCTCAATAGCAACAGCCAGTGCTCGAGGGCAGGAGATTGTACGGAAGCACCTTGGGGACGCTTTCCTCTACTTCCTCCCTCTTGTGGTTTTCCTATGGATGCAGTGTACAGTACCTGCCTAACAGAGACATCTTTCCTCTGCAAACATTCACCTGTCCTCTTATCTGCGTCCTTTCAAATTTCAACCTGTTTGTCCCCAGTTACCTAGTCCTCTGTTACTGCATGCCCTTTAGGATCTTTTCTCTTGGGCATCTATGAAGATCCTTTTACTTCCTTCTTAGCCTTGACTCCAATCTAAGAAAGAAATATCTTAAATGAAAGCAAAGGTATTTCCCCCACTCATTCCTCATTTTAGTAAAAGAGTAAACCTTATAATCAATCAGAATAATCTAGAACATTTGCACCCTAGGGCATGAGTAGACAACTTGGGGAAATGTGTTGATTGGCTTTGCTGATGTTTCCTGTTAATCTTTCAAGTGCTGAAGAGGACTTATTTTAGTTGAAAATTCTCCTGGCAAGTGATCTTCATGACATTTCAGCTTGTGGACACGAGAAGCCAAGCCCCTGTATAAGAAATAACTGATCTAATGAGATCCTGCCCTTACTTTGGACTTCTACCTTTTGATGTAATTGCTCTTGTCATTTCTGCTGAGCCCACGTGATGAGTCACTGACAAGTCTATCCCTGTTCGGCAGAGTGGCATTTCGGCCTCTGGCCCCTGATCACCTGACCACTTCTTTGACCTTGCTTTACGTCTTTAATCCCTAACTGCTTCTTCCTTAAGCATTCTGGTTCAGTTTATTCTCCTTGAAAATCCATTTCCCTTTAAGGCAAAACACAGAGTGGTATCCAGCTATTGCTCTTGAGTTTGACACATCTGTCTGTCCTACCTCTAAGCCATTTCATTGTATTTTATTTGCTTCTCCTAACCTGCTATGAAAACCTTTTCAAAGCCAGAATCATCTCTGGGTTGTAGAGAATGTTGTGGATTTGTGCTTAGGCAGCGAAGGGAAAATCCCTAACTGTTTCAGAAGAGAATGAGAGAGCTGTTTGGACTATTAAGACTCTCATTCTACTACCCACCCCTCTTCCCTGCCC